CCCCAAAAACCAAAGGAAAAAACATATATATAGTGTATCTCCAAAAACACACACTAAGAGCACACACATTTAATGATTCAGCAGTTCGCAGATGGCCAAAATAGGTTCGTAGCGAGTTTTGGAGTAAAAATCAACTAAAAAGTGCATTTCGCAGCTTGCCAAATGAAGTTCACAGCGAGTGTGTCCAAGGGCTGCAAATGTGCATTGGCAGGTCGCGAAAAGAAATTCGCAGCGAGTGTGGTGCTTGGAGATGCGCAGTTTGGCAGGCAGCGAAGACGGATTGGCAGTGAGTTTTGGTGTTGTGCGCCGTCCACTTTCGTTGATCGCCAATGTCATTTCGCGGCGAGTTGCTGGGCAAGGTGAGGAGTGTTGCTGGACTTTCACGGCACGCGAGTTGTGTTTCGCAGCGAGTGGCGTGGATGTTGATGGCCCTTCTCGCACGTCGCGGATTGATGTTGGCCGCGAGTTCCGAAGTTGGGGTGTTGGGCATTTAGCACGGTGCGAAAGACAATTCGCCGCGAGTTTTGTTTGTGAGTTTGTTGTCCCCGGTTTAGCCTCGTGTCTCGAAAATTACTCGAATGGCTCGAATATGTCTCATAAAATGGCACAACGGCACGTCTTCCCGGAATTGCTATTTGGACCTAAACCTCACACCAAAAGAAACGCGAAAATACGACAAAATACAAAAACACAAAATAAAAATGAAAACACATAAAATGCGACAAAATGGACCGGTAGACACTCAAACGAACCTAAAAACGACTCGACTAACACATAAAACACAAGAAAAATAAGCACAAAAACATAACAAACAATCAGTAATTAAACGACTGCAGCTCATAGCTAGACCATTGATAATGAGAACAAAACTTCCTGCTTCAGTATGGGGACATGCTATTCTGCATGCAGATGATCTAATTCGAATTAGACCAAGTGCATATCATAAATACTCGCCATTATAGTTGACATATGGTCGAGAACCAAATATTGCACATATAAGAGTTTTTGATTGTGCAGTATATGTACCAATTGCCCCGCCCCAACGTACCACAATGGGGCCTCAAAGAAGGTTGGGAATATATGTTGAATATGAGTCTCCATCAATAATCAAATATCTTGAGCCAAAAACAGGGGATGTTTTTACAGCTCGATTTGATGATTGTAATTTTGATGAAGAATGGCTTCCCCCTTTAGGTGGAAATGAAAAAACAATTGAGAACAATATTGAATGGAGAACATCATCACTATCATATCTTGATTCTCCCACCAAACAAAGAGAGCAAGAAGTTCGAAAGATCACACATCTGCAGAATATTGCAAATCAATTGCCAGATGCATTTACTGACTTAAACAGGGTGACCAAATCACATGTGGCGGCTGTGAATGCCCCTGCTCGAATTGAGATTCCAAAATAAATGGCAAATGATGATGTGCCAAATGAGTCAAAGACACGCTTGAAACGAGGAAGACCAATTGGGTCTAAAGATAAGAATCCTCGAAAGAAAAGAGAAATTCGTGACCCGAATTTAGAAAAGAATCAAGATGATGGAAAAATTTCGGGACAGAATGAAAATATGGAAATTTCCATCAACTACGTAAATAATGGGAATCTTTGGAAGCGTGATGAGATCACAAATATTGATGATGCATTTGCATATATGGTATCGAAAGAAATTGATAATGAAGTTGAGGATCCTGAACCAAAATCTGTAACTGAATGTCAGAAAAGACATGATTGGGATAAATGAAAAGGCACCATCCAAGCCGAATTAGATTCACTAAATAAACGAAAAGTTTTTGGGCCTATTTCCATTATACCAAAAGGCATAAAACCTATTGGATACAAATGGGTTTTCACTAGAAAAAGAAATGACAAAAATGAAATCACGAGATATAAAGCTCGCCTTGCTGCACAAAGATTTTCCCAAAGGCCTGGGATCGATTATGATGAGACATATTCCCCTGTCATGGATGCAATTACTTTCAGATACTTGATGAGTTTAGCTATCCACGAAAATCTTGAGATGCGTCTCATGGATGTTGTAACTGCTTATTTGTATGGATCATTAGACACCGACATATATATGAAAATCCCAGAAGTAATCAGAATGCCCGAAGCACTAAACTCCAAACCTAGAGAGTTGTTGTTATGTGATTTCTAACAACGATGTAACACGTACTTAAGATGAGAATTATGA